TATTTATCTATCTATCTATCTATCTATCTATCTATCTATCTATCTATCTATCTATCTATCTATCTATCTATCTATCTATCTATCTATCTATCTATCTATCTATCTATTTATTTATTGTCATTGTAAGTATATACACAGTATACCCATACAATGAAATTCACAGACACCCAGAGACCAGATACATGCACACACAGAAAATTCCCCAAACATTCCCCACCCATTAAAAAAAATCCCCCAACACTCCCCACCTACTAAAAGTCCCCCACTAAAAATACAAACATCACACCGCAGGCTAAGTAACACAGTCCCAGATGCTCTCAATGGGGCAACGAAACTCATCCTCCTAGCTTTCTAAACAGGAATACAGTATGTAATTTTGACATACACTTCTATTTCATCACTGTTATTTTTTTTGACAATTTATATCCTTCAATTGCTATATTCCAGGGAGTCATCTCACCAAGTGTCTGTAATCTCCATTAAATTGTATTTACCCTCTTGAACTAAGATCTCCAGTTCTTCCTGTTGGTTTCCCATCCAATCATATATCCCATCTCTGCCCACTGACAATACTCATCAGCGAACAGATTTGTCTTGGTGCAAATGCACCAATCCAAGGCACAGAACTTCATGTTTTCTATACAGTATTTGCCTGAAACTACTGTCAGATCATAGGTATAACCTGTGACAACCAACTACAGCAGAGAAATCACAGGTTGTTTGGCACATGGCTTTGCAGTAGCATCCAGATAGGGATCTTCTGAGGTGTGGATCCTTGAGGCTCCTGAGATGATTTATATGTGGCACCTGCCCTGAACCACATTGAAAACATAGGCCTCATTTCTGCCCACAGACTATATTATGAAAATCATGGAAAATCATTTGGCCTATGGCTTTGCAGTGGCAAAAACAAAAAAACCCAACCATGTGTCTGAGATGCAGATCCTCATGGATCCACATGATTTTCACATAGGATCTGTAGAGTTCCCTCCTCTCTGTCAAGTGGCAGTTCCAGTCTTTGGCCACAGAGTAAACCACAGAAATAGATCCTCCGGTGCATGGCTTGCTTGCAACACAAAAGCCCAGATCTTCGTGGGTCCCCACAAGGATTACAACAGATCCCCCTCAAAGCACTGTAAAAGCAAGCCCACAGAAATCATGGTCCCATTATAGCCAAGCTTTGCCACAGCAAGAAAATACACCAATCTGAGGCGTGGATCGTCGTGGATCAATACGATTTTTACCAGGGATCCACCCCATCCTGGGTCTTAATCACAGGTCCCACTTTGTCCCAATAGGCGAAGGAACAGAAATCGCGGACCCTTGGGTGCGTGGCTTGGCAGTGGGGAAAAAAAAAGATCCGGATCTGGGGCCTGGATCCTCATGGATCCACCCCACTCTTCTGTGGGATCTGCCCCAAGCCAGGCATCGAAGGCCCCGCGATTTCTATGCCGCCGTCCTCCCCACCAAGGGGCGGCACCGAGACGAGGCGGCGGCCTGTGGGGGGGGCGAAAGGCCTCTGAGGCGAGGGCGGGGGAGGCCCGTCAGCGCCGCCGCCTGAGGCGACCCTCTTCCGAGGCGGAGAGGCTCCGGGAAGAGAGGGTAGCCTCGGCGGCCCTGAGGGAGAAAGCCGGGCGGCTACGCGAGACCGAGGCCCAAGGGCCTGTGGGAACGGAGCCAGGCCCGGGGACGAGGACGAGGACGGAGAAGCGCCCCCGAGTCAGAGGCTCGCCTGCCCGCCCCTCCGCCCGCGGCCTGGGTCCGGGCTCGGGCCCGGCCCTTTTCCTCAGGCCCTGAGCGGAAGGGTCCTGTGGAGGAAGAAGGGCGCCATGTCGGCCGAGGCCTTGGGCCTCCGCGACGCCCTGAGGGTGAGGACGGCGCTGCGCCAGGCCCCGCACGGGGTGCCCGCGGAGCACCGGGCCGCCTTGCCGGAGACCCCGAAGGAGGTCCCGCGGGGTATCTTCTGGGATGATCCCGCCTCGCAGGAGGCGGTGGGGACCCTCCCGGGCCAGCCGCCCCTGGAAGGAGACCCCCGTCCCAAGCAGAAGCGGGAGGGCCTGGATGCAGCCCCGGGACCTCTACCCCCGAAACAGGCGGCCGAGGAGGAGGCTTGGAGGGAGGCTGCCCCACAGGAGGAGCGGGGTGCCCCGGGGCAGGAGGCATCGGAGGCCTGGGGCAATGGCCTTTGGGGTGCCAGGAGGAAGGGACGGGATCCCCTGGAGGAGGAGGAGGAGCGCGATCTGCCGAGGGATCCGCGGGAATTTCTGGGAGAGATCCCATTAGAGAAGCCGACGGGTTTTCCCCAAGAGAATTGGGATGGTCTGAAGCAGGTGGGTTTCCACCGCCTTCTCTTGTGTGATCAGGGGAGGAGAAGGGGCCAGCCCTGCAGGGCTGGTCTGTTGGGTTTTTCTCCTTGGGAAGGAATCTTCGTGGGCCTCCCCCCCCCCAAAAAAAAGGGCTGACTGGAGATGCTTGTTTTAGAGAAGAACCATCTGATGCCCACACTTAAGTTCTGTGTCTTTCTCTGTTTTTTTCTTTCTTTATAAAAGAAAATCCTCTAGAATGATATAGTAGGGACCCCCCACTAGGAGAGCTGAGTTCTTTGTAGGTAACAAGCATTTGCTTTTTTTGGACTATCAATTCCCAGGATCTGCCCCAAAACAAGTATTTCTCATTTCTGGGAATTTATTATTTGTTCCTTGCCCTTTTTCTGTTTCTTCCCGTATTTATTTATAATTGAAATAATTTAGAAGGTTTTTAAGAAATTAAAACCAGATCTCAGCTATTCTTTAAAGGTCAGTTTTAAGAACTAGTCTTAGGGGTCAAATGCCCTGTGGAATAATACAATTTTTGCTGTCCATTGAAAAGTTGAAAGAGATTGAGGCAGCATGACCTCAGTGTTGCACGCCTGGGGGTATTCTGATAATTGCACTTCTCCGATGTCTGCATGATCCTGCCTATTAGTGCAAGTAGGAACTACCTAAGTAATAATGTTACTCCTCTACTAACCCATAGTAAATGCAACTATCACTTTTCACTCAGGTCACAGTGTCCTTTGAGGAGGTAGCTGTATATTTCACCATGGAAGAATGGGCTCTCCTGGATCAAAGCAAGAGGGTGCTGTACAAGGAAGTCATGCTGGAGAATTATCGGAATGTTTCCTTATTGGGTAAAGATCTGTGTTTGATTTATAGATTATATACTACTCTGGAAGTACACAAGTTCCCCCAGTCGTTATATTTGTTGTTGCTATGCACTAAAGTCATCTCCAACTTATGTCGACCGTATGAATGAACAATCTCCATAATGTCCTATCTTCAACAGCTATGCTCAGCTCTTGCAAACTCAAGCAAGTGGTTTCCTTTATGGAATCAATCCATCTAACAATGAGTCTTTCTCTTTTCCTGCTACTTTCCACCTTTCCCAGCATTATTGTCTTTTCCAGAGGATCCTGCCACAGGATTTTCATGATGTGGGACAGCTTCAATTTCAACATATTTGTCCCCAGAGAAAGTTCAGGCTTGATTTGATCTAGGACCTACCTGGTACTTGTTCATCTTTCTGGCAGTCCAGGGTTTTCCTCGCTTTTTAAACTGTCCAGCTTTCACACCCATACATGTCAACTGGAAATACAAGAGTATGGATGATCTTGGCGTTGGTCTCTACTGACACATCCTTATACTTGATTATCCTTTCTAGTTCCTTCGTTGCTGCCTTTCAATTGCTACATTGGTTTAGAGAGGTTTGATATGAATAAATAATTATTTCGTTTAGTCGTTTAGTCGTGTCCTAGGTTTGATATGAATAAATAATTATTAAAGCAAAACAGAAATAATTACTAAAACCTGACACTTAAGAATTCAAAATTATAAGTAATGGCTTGTGTCTTATCCGAATAATTATTAAAGCAAAACAAATAATTACTAAAGCCTGACACTTAAGAATTCAAAATTATAAGTAATGGCTTGTGTCTTATCCGTAGTGCAAAGGTATATAAACTATAAGCTCTATCCATAGAATGTTTTAATCCATATTTTTCTTCCTAATCTCCCGTGATGTAGGAACTCCGATTCCTCAGCCTCAACTCGTCTCTTGCCTGGAAGAAGAAGAAGAACTGTTTGTCTTGGAGCAAAAGGCAGGTGGGTACAGTACTTGGATTTTGTGGTGAGAATATATCTACTGAAATAGTACATGTTTCCACAGTTCAGTTTTATTAAATGTTTTAAAGTTTCCTGAAGATCTTTGTGGTGTTTTCCCTAATCTCATTCCATAATGTCCTGGGTTTCTCCTTCCAAAAGCACAGAAATCCTTTGATGGCACAGGAACTTCCTTATGGAGTTTCAGGGTCTGGCATGCTAGAGACAAAATGAAGAAAAGGGTGGTCTCACCATCTTTTGTGGAAGCTAAAGGAAGTTGAACATTTGCCCGAATGCTGCAGTAGTGGCTGAGACGAATCTAGCATGAGAAGAGGTGGGTGGGTGAAGAAGGAGAGGTGGAAAAGACAATTTCCTTTCCCAGGTATCAAGCGCTTCCTCTCACTGTATTTCCATTTTTAGTGAGTTAGGATCAGAAAACAAAATCAACCCTTTCTGGTTTGGAGGAGCCTCGTGGCAGAGTGGTTAAACTGCAGTACTACAGCCAAAACTCTGCTCACAGTTCGAATTCAATCCCAGATAGCCAACTCAAGGTTCATTCAGCCTTCCATCCTCCCAAGGTCCACAAATTGGGTACCCAGCTCATGGCGGTGGGGCAATGTGTAGCTTGCGTAATTACATTGCAAACCACTCAGAGAATGCTTTAAATGCTATGGGGCAGTATATAAGCAGCATGCTTTTGGCTTCTGGCCCTGATTATACATGAGCCTCGCAACTAATCACTAAAGGGTTCCCTCTTTAATACATTTTTTAGTATGCTATCAAGTTCTTTTAATGAGTCAGTCTATCTCACATTTGGTCTTTCGCTTTTCTTGCTGCCTTCCACCTTTTCCTAGCATTATTGTCTTTTCCGGAGGGTCGTGCCACAGGATTTTCATGATGTGCCCAAAATAGGACAGCCTCAGTTTCAACTTTAGTGACCATGATAGGGCTTTGAAGGTGAAGTGAGACATTTAAGGAGTGGTTTTACAGGTTCCACTCCCCCAGTGAGTTTTCATGGCCAAGTGGGGATTCGAACTCTGGTCTCCAGAGGCCTAGCCCATCACTATATCCACTGCACCATACTAGATATCCTTTCAGTCTGATTTCTATCACAGTCAGCCTCCTTACCAAGTACAGTGGTGCCTCACTTAGCGACGTTAATCCGTTCCGGAAAAACGTTTGTAAGCGATTTCATCGCTAAGCGATTTTAAAAAGCCCATAGAAACGCATTAAAACGTGTTTAATGCGTTCCTATGGGCTTAAAAACTTACCTTTCAGCGAAAATCCTCCATAGCGCTGCCATTTTCGCTGCCTCTTAAAGACAGCAGGCGGCCATTTTGAAACAGCTGATCAGCTGTTTAAAAAGGGTTGCTTTGCCATGATCGCTTCCCCGCGATCATCGCAAAGTGAATTTTCCCCATAGGGACCATTGCTAAGCGATCGCTTTTGTGATAGCAAAAAGTCCATCGCTAAGTGATTTCATCGCTCAGCAGAGTGATTGCTAAGTGAGGCACCAATGTATTGAAAGGCAACTTTGGTTAGAGTTGCCTTTTATGTTCCTCTTTTCTGGGCACTGCTTATTTGCTTTCCTCCTTATTCGGACAACCTGTTTTTCCTTTCCACTCACTTCAGTTTTCTTTCTTTTTTTAGTTGAAAGTGAGGTTAAAACATCCCATCATAACCACTGGAAAACCAACACCATGGAGAAATGCTTTCAATGTTCAGAGGGTGAAACCTGTTTTGATGAGAACATCACACTTGCTTGCCACCAGCAAATACACACAGGAGAGAAACCGTATAAATGTCTCAAGTGCGGAAAGCGCTTCTGTGACCATAATCACCACACCACTTATCAAAAAATTCTACCAAGAGAGAAGCCCTATAAATGCTGGGAGTGTGGAAAGATCTTTAATAGGCAAGAACACTTGATTGCCCATCAGAGAATTCACACAGGAGAGAAACCGTATAAATGCTTAGAGTGCGAAAAGAGTTTCAGTCAGAAGTCAGGTCTTACTGCCCATCAGGGAACTCACACAGGAGAGAAACCCTTTGCCTGCCTCCAGTGTGGGAAAAACTTCAGCTTGAGGGCAAACCTGACCTTACACCAAAGAATTCACACAGGCCAGAAACCCTATAAATGCCTGGACTGTGAGAAGAGTTTCCACAGACATGATCACCTCATCTACCATCAAAGAATTCACACAGGGGAGAAACCATATCAATGCCTGGAATGCAGCAAGAGCTTCAGCAGGAAAGGACACCTTACTAAACACAGCCGGACCCACACAGGAGAGAAACCCTTTAAATGCGTGGAGTGCGGCAAAAGCTTCAGCCAGAGGTCGAGCCTCACAGTACATCAAGGCACTCACACGGGAGAGAAACCGTTTAAGTGCTTGGACTGTGACATGAGCTTCAGGCAGAGGCAGGCCCTTATTGCCCATTACAGAATTCATACAGGTGAGAAACCCTATACGTGCCTGGACTGTGGGAAAATCTTCCGCTCGTACCAGCAGCGTTCTGTACACCGGAAACTTCACACAGGGGAGAAACCCTTTAAATGCCTTGCATGCATGAAGAGCTTCTACAGAAGTAATGACCTCATATCACATTTTAGGATCCACACAGGGGAAAAGCCGTTTAACATTGTCTCTGTGAACTCTTTTAGAAGGGTGTGGTATAAAAAGAATTTTTTAAAAAATATAACAGCAGCAAACTTTTCTATGATTCACTTTTGTCCTCTGAAGATGCCGGCCACAGAGACCGGCGAAATGTTAGGAAGAACAACCTTCAGAACACGGCCAAAGAACCCGAAAACCCCACAACAACCATTCACTTTTCTATTATTCTATGATAAAACAGTGAGTTTTGTTGTACCGTGGTGCCTCACTTAACGAGCGCACCGTAGTGATTTATTAATTTATTCTTACTACATTCTGAGATGGTCAGAACATTGATGAGACTCACAATGTCCTGGGCATTGTCTCTGTGAACTCTTTTAGAAGGGTGTGGTATAAAAAGAATTTTTTAAAAAATATAACAGCAGCAAACTTTTCTATGATTCACTTTTGTCCTCTGAAGATGCCGGCCACAGAGACCGGCGAAATGTTAGGAAGAACAACCTTCAGAACACGGCCAAAGAACCCGAAAACCCCACAACAACCATTCACTTTTCTATTATTCTATGATAAAACAGTGAGTTTTGTTGTACCGTGGTGCCTCACTTAACGAGCGCACCGTAGAACGACGAATCCGCATAGCGAGGGGGTTTTAGCAATCGCAAATGCGATCGCATTACGATGGCCCCTATGGGCAAAAATCGCTTTGCGATGATTGGTAAGCGTTTCGCTTACCGATCTTCGCAAAACGAAGCCGCGGATCAGCTGTTCAGCGGCTCCCAAATGGCCGCCGGAAGCCCCCAAATGGCCGCGCGCAGCGTTTTCGCGCCCTCCCCTCGCTTACCGAGGGCGCGAAAATGGCTGCCGGTCATAGGAAAACTTTCGCTGAACGGTGAGTTTTGGAGCCTATTGGAACACATTAAACTAAGTTTAATGTGTTCCAGTGGCTTTCCCCATTCCGTTCAGTGATGTTTTCACATAGCGAGGGTTAATCCGGAACGGATTAACCTCGCTATGCGAGGCACCACTGTACTACTATTCAATAGTAATACTTCCTTACCACCCACCCGCAGATCAGGTGGCTTACTGTGTTGTCCTAAGGCAGATGTTCGTCCTGTCACAAGGCGGCCGTTTGTTCCTCTCTGGTTTGTTTCCTTCTACCATCCCAGAGAAAGAATTCACAATATAGTCTGTTTTTAAACACGAGATGCTTGCCATGGGGTTGTCCAGTGGGTTAACTTGTATCCTGCCACTCTGAAGTAAGTTAAACCTTCAGCTTCATTCAACAGTCTAAGGCCCCAACTAAAAATACAATGAACCAAAGAAAAAAGGGAATAGAAGGTTGAAGGGCTGGATAGCTCAGTGGTGTAGGCATCTTGCTGTGGAGTCAGAGGTTGGGAGTTCGATTCCTCACTTTGCCACCTGAACAGGGCTGGACCATAGGGTCCCTTCCACTTCTGCAGTTCTAAGATGATGCTGATGCTCGTTATCAAGTGAGAAAAAGGAGATAACCAGGGCCTTCATTCAGCAGGAGCCGATCTGTCAGTAACAACTCAACCGAGGGTGGATCAGTTGCCAACATCTGGGCAAGGAAGGCGAGGCATCTACAGTGAACAAGGCAGGGCAGGATAATGGATAATATAAATACCTGGGGAGTTCATAAATCTTAGATTTGCTTTTGCTGGGAAAATTTACCCACATTAAAAAATAAATAATAAATTATTGTTGGTGTTTTTTCCATTTTTATACTGCCCAATTAAGGAGCCGATCTGTCAGTAACAACTCAACCGAGGGTGGATCAGTTGCCAACATCTGGGCAAGGAAGGCGAGGCATCTACAGTGAACAAGGCAGGGCAGGATAATGGATAATATAAATACCTGGGGAGTTCATAAATCTTAGATTTGCTTTTGTTGGGAAAATTTACCCACATTTTAAAATAAATAATAAATTATTGTTGGTGTTGTTTTTTCCATTTTTATACTGCCCAATTAGTGCAAAGCGCTGCTAACAAAGTACAGTAGGTCCCCCGTATATTCAAGGGGAATCCACTACTGCCAAGCACCTCTCCCCTTTGAATGCTGAAAAATGTGGGTTATAGCAAACTATGAGAATATCTTCTCTCCCTTCCCCTCCCTTTCCCCCCATTTAAGGGGCACATTTCTCCACTCACGGATGGCCTTTCGGATCCAAGGGGGAAACAACAGAAACGCTTCCTGTTAAGCTGCTGCAATTTTGTTTTCCATGTGATAAATCAAGTATCTTCCACCCTTCATTTCTTCTCTATCCCATGTTGCTGGCTATTGTCTTCTCATTCTCTTACTGAGTGGGAGAATTTGAAAAATAAAAATCTAATAGCCAGAATCATAATTGGGCTAATTGACCAGAGCACATCTTGATCAACCCATTCAGGACATGACCAAGCTTTCCCTGGGTTGCGCCTTGGAGATGCGGGGAAGGGGGGGGGGAACAGACTTGCAAAAAAAAAAGCCCCACCAATTATTTATCTGAAATATTTTTATTCCGCTTTTCTCCTTCACAAGAACCCAAGGCTTACATCATTTAAAAGACCATATATACATATATTTAAAAGGCTGCCGTCTCCCTTCTTTTGCCCCTCGATCCACCCAAGCCTAGCCCCGCAAGGCGAGAAAAAGAACACAACGCCTCTTTTCCCAATCTCCGATTAGGCGCCTGACACGTGTCCGGGTGATCGTCGGAAGGCGCCTCCCTCGGTCCCTCCTCCTCCTCCTTCTCGGGGCGGGAGGCAGAAAGCCAGCCGGGGAAGGGAGCCTCTTCTCCATCTCTCCCTCTTGCAGGGAAGAAAGCCATGGCCCCGGCGGCCAGACCCGAGGCCGGAGGCGGC